TCCCCCCCCCCCCCCTAAAAACTGGCATTCATTCACATTAATTTCAGTATCACAACCACTCAGAAGTGTATCTGGGTCCAGGCAATGTTCACCTACCAAAATAAGAGATTCAGAGAAAAAACATGTAGCAAATATAGGAGTAAGGATATAAGAAGTGTTCTTTTTTTCCCCCGCCTAAAAACTGGCATTTGTTCACATTCATTTCAGTACCACAACCACTCAGAAGTGTTTCCACAAATCTGGAAAACTTCCAGTTATTTATGTTAAAATGGATACACATTCCTTAAAACTATACTAAGCCCAAGCTTTGACCTTTGCGGAAAGCTACTCTAACTTTAATATCCAATAACTTTAGCACTTGAAAACCACCAGGAAATATGTTAGTGATGAATTCCAGAGACTGAATTGTGTCCAATGACAGAGCTTTTCTTCTACAGATGCTACTAAGAGAAATGCTGAGAGGCAGCCCAAGCACTCCAGTAACCACCAGGCTCCAGAAACAGCTGTAACGAGCGTAAGAATTTTCTATATAAAATTTTCCATTTTCTATACCTAATTCCAAGCATGAACCTTTATTACTGAGGGAAGTAGGAGTTTAACACAGTACTTTCAACAGAATGGGAAGTCTGTTTGTTTTTAAGATGGACAGAGTTGTGCTCATCTCTGTCCTCAAGCCATTTTGACCCTTGAGTTTCTACCTTTCTTGACAGGCAGCTTCTGAATCAAATCCATTAGCTTTAAGTATTTCTGGAAGTCCAGGCTCCAACCCCACCACATACTTGTACGATCAAGGTTTTGCAGTGGTGGCTGGAAGACACGTGAGCTTTGACAGGAGCTCTTTGCTGTGGGTGAGGTTAACCCACACTTGGTCACTTATCTTAATTTTTTAAATTTATCTTAAATTTTAGTGCCCCCTCCAAGTCTCATCCTCTTTTTAACTCCCTCCTAAGATAAGCTAAGCATGAAAGACCCACTATCAGAGTCCTTACTTCAAGTTACCACCCAGACTTACCAATATTGCCTCCCACTTCATACAGGAGCAGGTTTGTGCACTCCGTTGAGTTGTTACTGCAGAAAGAAAAACACATTGAAGTTAACAAAGCTCTGCAAAAGGCAGGTTGTGTACTTTAGTAATATTTCTTCTCAAAAGCTGCTTATGGTTCAGAAACCAGCAATGGTCAAGGAAGCTACAGGCCATGGTACAGAGACCTTGCTGATCTTTCTGAACAGTGCAGCTGTTAAAAATTACACCCAAAATTGGAAAAAAAGAAAGTAAGGCAGATATTCCTCACTGGTAACAAGAAGGACACTATATGCAAACACTAACTTTTCAACAGGAACACAACAGACATAAATACCAAAGTTTACTGGCAGTATTCCTCTAGAACTGATGGCCTGTTCAAGAGAAGTTCATCTGCAGGAAGATCCCAGCAGCTGTAGTAGCTCGATACCAGTAGAGATACTAGTTCCCAGCTGCCCCACATTCAGCCAGCTGCCCATCCACCCTCCCTGTCTAGACTTCTCCTGCCCAGGGACACAGGCAGGAGATGCACTAACACTTCACCTACTAAATATGGTCTGTAGACATGATGGCAAAGGGGTGGGAATTCTTTTGTTCATTTTTTGGCTTATTTCAGCAATTCACCATTGGACCATAGGAGGGAATTGCAGAGCTTACTTTAGGAAGCCCCTACATTAACATGTGGATGTTGGAAATACTACTCCAGGCAAGTAATTTGCACGGGTGATGTTTTCCTCCAGGAGAGCTCAAGAGGGTTTGTTTTGCAGGGTCAACATCATTCCACTTTCCCTTCCCTCCAGCAAGACTGCTAAAATTCACATTGTCCAGCAAACCCAAGGGGACTACCTGACTCCTGACAGCCTGAGAACAAGGATGGAACCACTCAGCTGAACTAACATGTGCTTGCCCCATCCAACACACAATTTCCCAAGTTGAGACTAGAGGAGCAGAGAACAGTCTCCTAATAGCTCCCCGTGTCACCACACCAGCTCTGCCAGAAAACTGAAACCAGCAACTAGACCACCTGCTATTTTTTTATATATATTTTTTTTAAGCAGAGAAAAGGCCATTTACCACTTGAGGAGGTTGACAGTGTTAACAATATTCCAACCGTTCTGGCACAGGTTCTTCTGAAACTGCTTCAAGACATCAGCAACTCTGGTTGCATTGTTCAAATGCACCTCCAGCGAATCCTTCAGGAGAAGCGAAGCATGGACTTTCACAATCTTGGAAGGCTGAACAAGGTGGGCAGAGAGGAAAAAAGAAGAAAGTGCTTAAAGAAAGACTTTGTGATGAGCTAAAACATCAAGTTTCAAAATAGATCGAACTGTGTGAAGAATTAAACCTATCCAGTCAGTCGTTCAGAGAATTAAGGTTTGTTTCTTATTCCATACGTCCTACAGATGGGAAGTTTATAGAAGCAACAAGGTGAGAGTTATAAACAAATCATCTGTGCTCTGCTGCCGTGGCTGGGGAGAAAAGCACCGCTCTCCATCCGCGTGCACTGGTGCTCTCTGCTGTTCAAACACAGCAGTGACACAAGCCTTGATGAAACCAAGTGCTTAAAGAAAGACTTTGTGATGAGCTAAAACATCAAGTTTCAAAATAGATCGAACTGTGTGAAGAATTAAACCTATCCAGTCAGTCGTTCAGAGAATTAAGGTTTGTTTCTTATTCCATACGTCCTACAGATGGGAAGTTTATAGAAGCAACAAGGTGAGAGTTATAAACAAATCATCTGTGCTCTGCTGCCGTGGCTGGGGAGAAAAGCACCGCTCTCCATCCGCGTGCACTGGTGCTCTCTGCTGTTCAAATACAGCAGCGACACGAGCTTCAATGAAACTAGGATTTCTCAGAATAAATTTTGACAAACTGCTTTGCACAAGTCTGATAGACTTCTCTGGATCTCATTTAAATGACTGAAAAAGGAATTTAGGCAGTTGACTTGCAGACCACTGCATTTCAGAAAGGTAGTTTCAAAAAAAGGAAGGGCAGAGTTCAAGTGCTATTTTCTCAAGACCGTTTTCATCAACTCCTTCATGAAGTAACTTCCCAGAACTTTTGTGGAGAACACTGAACCGTTCTAACGGGCTCTGATCTGCAGCAAGGTCATTTTGCAACCCTGAACCTTCTGCAAAACCAGTGCTGAGCACCGAGCCCATTAGGAAGTAACATCAGCACTGTTCTGAGCATCGGGTCATCTGTTTGCCTGCCTAACCAGTAGTTGCCCTCTCTGAAATGGGGGCATCTTCCAGTGACATGTAGCCTTAACCAGGCGAATTTTAGGCAGACATCATTTCAGGAGCCCAATTGGTATAGAAAGGGGGATGTACTGACTGGTGAGAACACAGACTCTTCTTTAGGTATGCAGATTTAAGCTTTCAGTGTATTATTTCTACCTGCAGAGTCCACCTAGCTCGTGTTCTTGGAGCATCCCAGTTGCACCACCACTTCTATGCAATACTTTAAAGCCAGCACTGCATGATGTAATCCAGCAATGACAAACCTATGCTTATTCAACCAATAGAGGCAACTGAAAAAGGCAGAATGACTCCAAGGATCTTTTTCCAGCTTCAATACACAAATAGATCTGACAGTAACATCTATCTAAAAAAAAAATCTGTCTGCAACAGCACAAGGAGTAATTTCATTTATCAGGGAGGTTAATTTTCTCCTTTTTAAGGGGCAAGAACCTTCTCCTCAAACCCTTCCACACAAATCAGCAGCATTGTAGAGGAAAAAAATACAAAAATTTACTCTTATGCTCTTACACTATAGTAATATCCTAAGTTTTACTTTGAGATCATGAAAATAAGTCTGCCTTTATCCATCTAAACACACAGAGCATCTAGAGCCATGTTAATTCTGCTCTTCACGTAAGGTAGACACCAGTATTTTTGCTTCTGGTCTCTTCCTCCTCCTCCTGCATCAATGCAGCACCTTAACTGAGTGTTTCATAGCCTGAAATTTATTTAGTGCACTTGCTGCTGGGATTGGTGTTTGCCACAACCTGGCCAAAAGGGCCTGGGAAGCTGTTTCTGCAGATTTTCCCCAACTCTGCAGATTTTTACCCCTCTTTACAGAGTGTCACTCCTCACAGCTTTTCCAAGTTCTCATGAAAGCACACCAATGAGAAAGTATCCAAACCTGTTATGAAAGGACCAAGTTTTTCCAAGCCCTAACTCACCTCTGCCTGGTTCTTCTCCGTTTTGTCTTTATCAGCGTGAATCTTCCGCAGCAGGTTTTTAATTCGCTTGTCACAGAACTGGTACCTTTTGCTATTGCTCTCATTCAACTTTCTCACTTGAGCTACCAGAAAGGAGGAGACCTGGGAAGGGAAGATGGAAGACGACAGGAATTAAATCAAGCAGAGATGAGGATGCCATTTAAGAACCTAAACATCACTTTATGAAGCTCCTTGAGTAGACAAAATATCCATATACCTTGAAAACAGCTAGTCTTGGAACTCAGCCAGAGGTTTTGCCTACAGACATTTAACTCCCCTGAAATTTCCAAGACCATCCCTTCCCCTATTCCAATTCCAGGCAGACTAAGACGCTGCCACACCATATTGCAAAACACCTGCACAACTTACTGTCCAGAGCAAATCCTGGTAATGGATCATCATCCGCACGACATCAGCCGCCCCCTCTGCCAGCTGCTTCTCCTTCCCTTCAGGGATCTTGTTTGGCAGCCCCTTGTGCATGAAGAGGTTTGGGGCCATGACTGTGGAAACGTTCCAGAGGTTCATTTTGTTGTTGTTCTCCCTGGCAACCACTTTGCTGAGGAATTCGAGTAGAGCCTAAAGAGAGGGCAAGAGACTTTAAGACATCCATTACTAATAGTCCTCAAGAAACTACTGTGGCAATTGCTGGAAAAGTTGTTTAATTAGCATTTTTTCATTATACCCATGAGCAAATCCTATTTCTCCAGTCAGATAGTTCAGCAACCAATTTCTAATACTAGGATAGCAGCAAATAAGCATACCAAGCTGAGAGATAGTTTATGCAGCATTCACAAATCAGGAGAGACAGCCTGCGTGGGAAGTGGATGAGCTCTTACTCCTTGGCATGTGACAATTCACAAAGTCCAGTTATAAATGTTACAGAATCCAAAAATGACACTTCTCTTCTCCCAGTATCCCTTCAAAGCTATTCCCAGATGTGGAAAAATAAACCCTTTTGGATGATCTCTTCTGCCTCATGCCTCCGCCAAAGCCATGACACATGACAGATCATCTCTGACTGGATTATGTATTCCTGCAATCTAAATAAAGTTTGCAGGGTGCTAAGTCAGCCTGGCCTTTATTACCTGGAAGCTGAACTACTCAGGAGAAAAAAAATAAGCAGCAGCAACAACCACCACAGTTCTGATAAAGCAGAGAAAGGCAGAGGTTGTGCACTGCTTGCAAAGCTGATCCCATCAGCATTTATTCTTTCAAAAAGTAGTAGATGAAAGGATTTAAAATGCCCTCTGATCAGAAAAGGGTAGGAAGGTAAATGTTTAGTAGCTTTTTTTAATAAGTAGTAGATGAAAGGATTTAAAATGCCCTCTTATCAGAAAAGGGTAGGAAGTTAAGTGTTTAGTAGCTTTTTTAAATAATTTTTTTTTTAATTGAAAATTTCCAGTTAAATCCAGAACAGGTAGTTACCTTTAGAGTGTTTCTGTTGGACTCTGGCAGAATCAGGATCAGGAGATTCAGAGCTTGCAATCTTTGCTTCAGGTCTGGAATATCTAGAGAGAGACAACAAAGCAAAGGATTCAGGCTCCTGACTGTTATTTTTGAGCATGGGAATGCCCCAAGGAATAAGGCAATTGCTTGTTTTGATTTTGTCACTTAGGATTTAAGACCTTGCTTTACAGAAATGAGTCAAACTCATACAGTCTTACAAAGTGACCTATGTCTTAGAAGACCAGCTGATTTGTTTCAGAGTACACAGTCTACCAGCAAGTCTGATGCACTTGAAGGGCATCAAAAGACCCTGTTAATCCCCATTTCTTGTACTAAAAAAGCTGTGCACATAAACAGACAGCTTAACACATTCAAGCCATCTATTGAGGCACAAACCTCAAAATAAAACGCTTGCACAACACTGCATCACCTGCAGACAAGCCAAGGCTGGTCACCCTGGGCAGTTGCCACAGCTCAGCCTACAGGTTGTTATTTGTCAAGTTGTCCCTATTCATGGTAGCAACCTTGCAGCCTCAAATGACACAAGATCATTTAAGGCTCCAGGACAGTGTTCCTACACAAAAATGCGTGCAACCAGGCACCAGGGACAATTACTCTCAGGCTGACACATAACAGATGGAGCACCCAGCACACTGAGTTTGACTATAGTTCCTATCACACTCTGTATTCCCATGGAATCCACGGGCTCTCAACACACCTGAAAGGAGAACCCAAGACCAGCAGAGCTTTGCCAGAAAGGCACAAACCAGCAAACTGATGCTAAAGAGCCAAAGCAAGGACTCACTTTGCACAGCAGCAAAAGCAGGGAGGTACTCTGCTGTCAGCAGCGGGGCCGGCAGCTCCCTTATGAATCTTTTCAGTAGCCCCGATACATCATTCTGGTGGACTTCATCCCAGCGGAAAAGGCCAGTATAGAAGTCCCTTTCTAGCTTCTGTTCCAGGCTCTGTAAAAAAGATCAATTTTATTACATGCTTTAATAAGCAAATACAAGGGAAATTCTGTAGCTGAGCACTAGGAGGGCAACCCATCAAATCAAAAGAGCACAGAGACCCTCACAGCAGACACTCCCAGATTGCCCAGTAATGGACATTTCTAGTTGCACTGGGAAGGGAGATGAGACAATTCAGGTTATTTAGATCCTTGCTTCAGCAACATGGTCCTTGATCACCTCCCATACTGTCAGACACTACTAAAGAGCTCATACCTTGATTCTGGTCTGGGACCCAGAAACTCTCAAAATGCCTTCTGTTTCAAGTCCTCTCTTTTCCAAGCAGGACAGCAACTATTAAAAGGGGAAAAAAGAAAGCTCTTAGGCACAGAGGATGAGAAGTCAGCCCTTCCTCATCACAGGCTTCCTGACTCTGAGGATCAGAGGTGCGAGTGAAACCAGAAGAGAACTTACTGACTGGAGTAACAGAGGGACTTTGGTGTTGGGGAGCAGTTTTTGGTCATTCTCCAGCAGGGTGTTGAGTGGAACTCCAAAGAGCCTTTTCTCTACAACAGAAACGACATGTTATAAGTCTGTATCTCCACTAATACAGATGTCAGGGCTATATTCGATGCTGCAGACTAAGAGGGCACATTTTATAAACATAGTTACTGAAGAAACAGAGAGAAACAGTTCGCAGGACAAGTGCATTTGATAGCCAGAGATGAATGTGGTGCTAGGTCTTGGTGATCCAGTGATTTCCAGGAGAAACACTGTCAAAGGAAAAACACCCGGCACAAGGTCTCCTGTCACAGACCCTCTTTGTCCTAACATTGCAAACATAAACCTCTGAGAAGAACAATATAAAAAATGCACCCTCCCCCCCAAAAAGAAATCAAGATGAAATACAACTAACCTAAGAACAATATAAAAAATGCACCCTCCCCCCGAAAAAAAAACAAGATGAAATACAACTAACCCATTTCCAGGAGAAACACTGTCAAAGGAAAAACACCCGGCACAAGGTCTCTTGTCACAGACCCTCTCTGTCCTAACGTTGCAAACAAAACCTATGAGAAGAACAATATAAAAAATGCACCCTCCCCCCGAAAAAAAAACAAGATGAAATACAACTAACCCGCTGTTTTCAGTTTTGCTGCCTTGTTTCTCTTCAGCTCAAAGCCCAGAACATCACAGAGAGCTGTTAGTTCAATAAGGGCCAGCGTGGGGATCTTCTTCATGTCCTGAGCAGATAGATCTCCAATCCTGGTCACTCCTAGTCTACCCTTGGGGATCTTAAATTTCTAAGGGAAAAACACAGACATACACACATGGTTCAGTGCAAGTATCATTACTAATCACACTGGTATCAAGTTTTGCTGCATTTTTATCATTCCTCACCATAACCAGGCATCTATTCATTGTCTTGCTTTCAACACCACACAAATGCCCCAAGCTACTCCTACTCCCTACTCAACCCACAGCTGAATAAATATTTTCCCTTTTCCGCATTGCTCTTTAACTGTACTGGACATTGCCATTTATCTAAATTAAAGACAGCCTGATGCCCACTCCAATCTACTTGAACTCTGGAAGCAGGCCATTACATTTGCAGAGAAGAAAACTGTTAGAATTACAAGTAAGAAAGTCCAGTTATTCTCTTCTTTCCAGTGGAAATGTCCCAGCTAGTTTCACACACAACTGTAGCTTCTCTCAACCCTCCACTGCACAACAGTTATCCTTGCCCAACAATGCAAGGGTAACAGCATTACCTGTCCAAAAATATCTACTTAATATAGACCTGTTCAATGCTATTCTGAGAAGATCCTTCTAAGAGCTGATCATATAGTTGATTCAAGTGCCTCGTACCCCTCTTGACAACAGAGGAGCCAATAACTTCTAACAGGAATAATTCCTTCAGTGCTTACAGTTAGGGTGTTTCCATCCTTTAACCTCCTAGATTCAGACAGGAATGATCCCTTGAGCAGGACAGCCGCTTGCTCCGAGTAGGCAACATCCATGTTGAATACCTCCTCTTTCCCAGGGTTTCGAACTGTGCAGGAGTAATCCTGGGTTTCTGCTATAGAGGAGAAAAGGTCTTGAATTTCAGAAAGCCAAAAGGGTGAAGCTTAGAACACAAGTGTGCTAAAAGAGCAGTTTAAGACAATAACAAACTACATTAACATCTGAAAAGAGAGTTGTCATAGCACAGTCCTGAGACTGACCAGTAGGGTAAGATTAGCTTAAAGCCATAACTTTACAGCTACAATCACCAGGTCACTGGTAAGACATAAGCATAGCCATAAATTATAGGACATACCCATGGCTAACTTTATTTGCATCTTCCAATTGCTTTCTTGAGAGTTACAGGATCTGCTGCCCAAACTAATAACTGATACCACAAGAGCCTGGCAAAGTTTACTAAATCCACAACTGTAGATAACTATGTATTTAAAGAAACAAACAAAAAACCAACCCAAAAAACCAAAACCAAAATGAAACACACACTCCTCCCCCAAGCAAGGTGAATGCTTCAGAGCCCCTTCCACTCCTACTCTACCTTTGAAAACTTCTTTCTTGCAGTTCTGTACATTTGAAGTCCGCAGATTGTGCCACAACTGATCTGGGCTGGACTCCTCTTTCTCTGCTGCTGTCTCCTGAAAAATAAACCAGAACATGTTTACCTACACAAAACAGGCCATGGGAAGGCTCACTGCATCTGCAGAGTATGCACAAAGCCAGTGAGCTTGCCACAAAAGCAGAACTGATTAATCACACATCATACACTAATTCCAGGGCACCTTCAGATCCAGCTGCTGTGTAAACTGGCCAGACCAAACAGCAATATAGAAGAAATATGTAGAAAGGTTCTGACAGAAAAGCTTGCAGCATTATTGCTTTCAGAAATGTCACCTCACTGTCACTCATTTGTGCAGGAATGCAAACAGTGCTCTACAAAAGCAAATCAGCCATGACTCTGCCTCAGTGCAATTCACAGCAAGGAAACAAACTGCACCTCAACACTGGACAGTTACAAAGAACACAATCACAGCAGTTTCCAGCGATGCTGCAGACTGGTAGGGTGATTCCTTTAAAGCATTCATGGGATTATTTGGGTATAATTAATCTAAAGATGTTTCAAAAATGCTTAGGCTGAGGAAAAGGAGTATTCAGTTCTGGTAGACAGCAAGGGTCCCATGCTAACTGAAAAATGCAGGTATCTGTTAAGCTCAATACTTTCTGACTAGACTCTTTACTGAGTAGAGAAAGCCTCAAGGAGCCCTGATCAGGATACTTTCCAGCAGCCCCTAGAAAAATAAGGATACTCCACCTTGTGGCCACACAGAGAAGAGGAGCATTGATTAATAATGATTTAACGTGTCACTGGAATAAAGAAAACACAAGAGGGCTCCAGATGACACCAGGAGACTGCAGTGCTGTAGGCACTATACAGAAGTCTTCCAGCAATCTCTAGGAAGTTTCTGGATCTGCAGATTTTGTAGCAATTTCTTAACGCTGCAACCTGGATGCAGAATTTCTACAATCTCAGCTTCATTTCAGCTCAAAAAGATGAAGTTGTCTATTTGGAAATGAAAGTAGCCCTAAGCCCAGAAAGCCAAGTCAGCTACAAAGCCTTTCAGGAGAGCCCACTGAATCAACATACCTCAGAGCTGACCACTCCAAAAATGTCTCGGACATCACGCACAGGGTGCTTGTTCTTCCTCCTCCGAGAGCGGGAGTAGGTGTCCAAGCGCCGCTGCACAGCAGCAGCCTGGGTCTTGGTCAGGGTGGAGAGCAGCACAATGTTGTCATTTTCTGAGGCACGGTCCCCAAGGAGGTCGGACAGACCAGCATCCTGGAGCCACTCGGCTTCAGCTTCTCCCTCTGCAAGGCAAGGGGTGAGAGAGGCAAGAGAGAAGAGAACGGATAACAGCAATTAGAGCGTTTGAAACACTTGAGAGTCAGAAAACCAGAAATCTGAGCCATCCCCTGTCTGGGGTGGCAGCGGGACATCACTGGAAGGGAGCTACATCTTTGTTAGGAAACCATAGCTATTCTCAAAATCTTAGTCCTATTCCCAGGTACCTGCTGGGTATCAGGGGGAAACCGGAGGAGAGACAGCACTTTGCGCAGCTGTAACCCCCCATAACTCCTTTCCCGTCACCCTAGGTGAGGAAAAGAGAAGGAAAAGCTTGGGAGGCATGGATGCTGCCAGGAATTCAGGCTCCCTCAAGAGCTGGGCAGAAGGGGGGCTGTGAAGTGTGACTGTATGGTATTTAGCACAAGGATTGCACCAGGAACAGAACCCCGTGGGGGATTTCACAGGACACACAAGGGGAGTCAGATGCATTCACTTAAATCAGCCCTTACATGGGCTCCCTGTGCAAAGGGGAGCTCTGGCAGCAGGAAACAGCACTCAGCAAGCTCAGAATGAATGGCACTGCCTCCCCAGAGCACACCTGATCCTCCAATGCTTTGAGAATGGACAAAAGGTCTGTGGGAGGCCACAACATACAACACTGCACGTTTGGCTTTTGTAATCTTCCCAATTATTTGGCTATTTCTTTTAATTTTCTTTTATCTATATGCATGCCTATGTATCAACAACTTCTTTGTTTGATATCCAGACACCAATCTCGTAGACTGAACCGTGTTTTATTTAATATATTTGAAGGACTACTTGCATGCACCTTCCCTATTCTTTACCTTTTTAGGTGGATTGGCATCCATACAATCATTCAACAAAAGCAAAAACATTATTCTTACTCTGTGCATTCACTTTACGTCTATGCTTATTCAAAACATCACTAAAATTAAAGACCATTCCAGTTCCAGAATGAGGTGTGAGAAGCCTGGAGACAGTACCAGCAGCATCACTCCAACAAGCTCAGTTCCACTTCATTCTTCAATACATATAAAGTTGCATTTCAAACACAGGAGACAATTTTTTCCTTAAGGGATGCACCCTTTGTGCAAGTGAGAAAGGGCCCTGAGCAAGGCAGCTACTTCAAATCCAAGGATAAAAGAAGCAATTTAGCAGGTGGCTTCAACTTTAATACAGCCAACACCACAAAGGCTTTATCTTTTCAATTCTACGTATGGCACTAATTCACTGCAGGCAGCTCCAGCAGAGCTCTACCAAAGGTTATACTGGGAAAAAGAAAAGTCACAACTGAACTGACCGAAACAGAACAGTTTGCTCCCACTCTTCCTTTCCAGTGTGAACTGGTATCTTCTCAATTATCACAGTCGCTCAGGAAAAGTTTTATTATTGCTGCATCAATAATAAAAGAGCCATGCAGCTCTTCTTCAGAGATTTAATAATTTAATTTTTCTGGGGAAACTTCTGTGTTCATGCAACTTGCAAAACCACATTGTGGCTTCATTAAAACTCTTTTCAGAGCATGCTCTGTGTTCTGAGGCACTGTAATGAAACAGAACTTCCTTCAGCATCACACCACAATAAATAGAGTTGGGCCTGAAGCAACGTGTTTCCTCAAACAAATCTTCTAGCCGACTGGCCAGCTTTCCTACGTGGTCCTAAGTTTTGGTCATTTCCCATCTCTGGTTCTACAGAAGCGAACAGGTAAGAGCATCCCGTGGTAGCACTGGCTTGGCCACAGCTGCTCAGGCACTCGTGGTCCTCTTCATGGCTCCTGGCTGTAGAGCCCTTTGTCCTGCATCCGTTGTTTCACAGCAGCACAAGGCACAAGGTTTCTGGTTTATTTTGTCTTTGGAAACTAAAGGAAGTTCAGTGTATTGCTTGCAAATTTTGAAAATACCCAATTCCAGTCATAACAGGAAACTAATCTAATAGACAATACTAAACAGCAGGCCCCAAATCGGACATCCGTGTGAGCCTACTGCCCCATCTGATGCCAAAGCACCACATTTTAATTCCTTTATTTAATATTTTTGGCCCAGTTACATTTGCCAACACCACAAAAAGAAACCAGCAAAATAAGTTATTTATGGGGAGAAGGGGGAAATGGGGAGAAACAGGTCAGAACTGAGAGGTCCACAGAAGCTGAGCTGCAGGTTTAAGCCTAGAGATACTAAGATGTGCCTTGTGAGTTCCAGACAAGCAGCATTTCAGGGGCACAACTGGGAATAAATTTGGAAAAACTAGGAAACATCAGTTCCAGAAAGTTACTTGAAACATAAGCTAGCTAAAAATAGCATTCATAATAAAGCATTTAGTTTCAGAAGAAGCTGAAGGACAGGTAAGTGTCCATAAATTTCAGACTAAACATTAAGTACATCTTCCTATGCAGCTTTTGAAGGCAGAGAAGACTCACTCCTTGCAGACACTTCTCGGCCATGATTACGCACTCTGAGGACGCCAGCAGATATTTTAGTGGCACGATGGCACAGAGCACATACGTTATCAGTGTGCTGTGCAGTCAGACCTTGGAGAGAGCTGGATAAACAGCAGACACCAAGGAAAGGACAAGGCTGCTTATATTTCAAGAAAAAGCTACTTTCTGCCCCCTTCAACGGTTAGTGAGGCCACAAACATCAGCAGCACCTTTTAGCTGACCCAGTTCTGCAAAGTCCCACACATTGGGGCCACATTAGCCTCCCACGACACCAGGTGACAAGCAGCTTCCCATGGTGCCACCCCTTGCACAGGAGACCAGTGTTCTCCAACTGGGTCAGCATTTTTGCAACGCCTTATCTCCACGTAGCCTCCCCGCTGTCCCCATACTGCCATCACGGTCTGGTATGTGGCAGGTTGAACCACACCATCCCCAGGCAGAGCTGTCAGCCCCTGCCCAGGTGCAGCTTCTTGGGCTTTATGCAAAGAGCGATGGTGCCTTCGGCTCCGAGGAGCCCTCAAGCTGCGTTGCCACCTCGCGGTGCACCAACCAGAAATTGCAGAGACATGAAAGCCAAGAGGCAACAGCCAAGTCCAGCCTCCTGCATCCGCACCATCTGAAGTTTCTCCTTGCTCCTGGTGCTTCCAGCCCAACGCTCATTTGACTAAGCTCCTTTGCAGAAGGCAGCAGGAGGCTGAACGTGTCGCACCTCCTTCCCCAGCCCGCTGGGAAGGCTTCACTACTCTGAGCATGGTTTCAAGTCCGTCTGGTTTCAATGGGCAATTAAGCAGTCAGCTCTTGCCTGCTAGATTAATATACAGCATTAAAAGACACTTTTCCTTGTATCCCTGCCTACACACAGTAATCAAATTGCCTCCAGCGTATCAGTGTTTCAGATATCCCAGACAGCCTTTCATCTCATGGCATGGCCTCTTTTCCAGAGTCTCCTTCCTGGTGCACTCATTTTCTGAGTCACTTTTGCATCTCAGAGTTTTAAAAACCAAACTGACATCCTTTATGCAAGGACACTAACAGCAGACCTTAATGTTTACCATGCCTTGCCTACTATGGCAGACACAGATGATATCTTCCCACCTTGCTCTCCAGAGCCCCCTCTTTGCTAATTATCCTACCCAAGCACGGCAGCACACTGGACTTTCACTCAGACATTTCCTCATTACACACACAGTTCCTTCTCAACATCAGCCTGTAGGTTGTACAGGCTGCAAACCCAACTGTTCAAGAGGATGTTCCTCCCAACTAAATCATGTTCTTCAACACGGACCCAGAAAATCCACAATCCCGATCTGTGGGATGGCTGGGTGCTTATCACCGTTTGTCATCCCTCCAGCACCCCAGGGTGTTGTGCCTCCCATGTCAAGAGGCAATTGGCTCAGGTCCCAGTCATTCCAGAATACTGGATAACATCAGTGCTACAGGAAGTCCATCAGAAACAGCCCTTGCACATGAAGCTGTCTTCTAAAGAAATAGAAAGCTATCTTCTAAAGAAAGAGAAAAAAAAATAATAAAAGGAGGTATATAAGAAAAACCTTTTGTGGATGGACTCAAGTCATTCTGGAGGTTTCTTATGGTTTCTTGAATAGTGAATTTGAGGGGGTAAAAATCTGCCTTCCACAAACGCAGCTCATAAAAGTCACTATGATGAAGTCTCAGAATCAGCTACACAAACAAGCCTCCCAAAACACTGCCAGCTATCACAGTGTGTTTACTGTACAGCCACTGCATGGGGAGCAAGAACCCCCACATTTGGTGGGGGCTGTTTAAAAAAATCTGGAGCCTTGAAAATATTCCTGACAGACCTTTAGAATCAGCTTTGTTTCAGAAGCTGAAACCAGGCCAGGCCAGCACTCCCCTTCTGCAGGGCATTATCCAACACTCAGTTTTAAAAAAATAAAAATATATCTCTCTGATTTGACCAGTAATATCCTAATCATATCCCAACGTGCCTCTAAATCATTTAGGTGCATAAGCAAATTTTCTAAGATGTGCATCCTCCTCCCCTCACTCCCAACATTTTTGGCAACCTACCCTCTTGTGTTTTGACATCTGCAAGGCTGCATTCCTCTTGCTCGGCTTCAGCGCTCTGTTTAATGTTCTCTACTTCCAGCCAAAAACTGTCCATTGACAAGTTGTCCAAAGACTCTACCCTGGAATTCGTGCCCTCTGACACCGGGGATGCCAAAGGACTCTTCGGAGGAAGCTGGCTCATTTTGCAAAGGCAATTTCTGGTACTGAGAGAGGAAGAGATAAGGAGAGAGAGATTAAGCTACACGTATTCACACACAGCATTCACAATAGAGCAGTCTTCATTGATTAATGACTGTAATAAAAGCCAAACAGAGGTAAGTGCTAGACTTCCTTTGGTTAGTGTTTAGCAATAACAGACAAGGTTGGGATCAAATCCCCTAGCGCAGGGGAAAGCCTGCTGTCCAAACACGCGAGAGGACACAACACCAACACAAGTTTTCCGATGTTGTCTTTCCAGTGACCTCCAAGACACCACCTACCGCTCCCACACTTGCTTCCAAGACTGCCTTGCAAATTTGCATGGATACCCTCTACATTTACGGAAAACCGAGATGTTCCAAGCTTGGTGCACAGGTTCTCTGACTGTCTGGCATGTACTGTAAGCCCAACAGGTCCCAGCCACAGCAGACTGAACCCCGTAGCCTTGTCCTCCACATGTGAAAATCAGCACAGCTCCGTCTCCTGCACTTCAGCTCATGCAGTAAACAACTCAGATGTTTGAGGCCCTCTTTTCCTGCCCAGACCAGATTTTTCAGCTGTGAAACAGCACAAGTGTCCTGGGAAACCCAAACATACAGAATTTTCTTACCACCCTGCTGATTAATTCATGGGCAGCTGAAATCCCAGACTGGCCTCGTTCAAGCTTTCAACCTCTCTGCAGAAAATTGAGAGGTTCTCATCAGTTCAGAAAATTATGCCTCTCCTAAAATGAATTTTAATTTTCTTCAAAGGGTTACAAGTCATTTAAACCTTGCTGTATATCTTTTTCAAAGACTTAAAAAAATTGGGATAAGTGGAACCTACTTATAAAAACACCTCAATGGCTCAACTTATGAATACAAAATTAAAGAGATTGCACACTATGCTAACTCTGGATGGTTTGAAAACCACCTGTGAGCAGCCACCACCACCTCCACACACACACCATAGTCTCCTTCTAGTTTCACGACAAAAAAAGTCGATTGAGTTTTATGCCTTGAAAACCATGACAACAAAACACCCACAAAAAAAAGCAATTTAGCCTCCTAACTCTAGTAGGACTGAGAAAGTTATAGATGGCAAAATATCTGGAAAGTTTTAGTTCTTTCCATTCCGGAAAGCCATTATTAGCAGTTCTGGCACTAACTTGCTTCTGTTATAAGAAGCGTTTTAAGTAATAAAGACCTAAACTTGAAGATTTAATAACTCAGAGGCATATATTGTAGGATATTCTGCACTTCTATTTAGACCATGCATGCATACTATGCTCATACCTTTTTCTAACACACATATAGGCAGCCCTTCTCTTCTAAAGATCAGAACTAAAGTAATAACCATCATTCCAGGAACACCTGGAGCCAGCAACAGAATTGAGAATAAGGATAAGAAGGTTTTTGTTTGTTTCAAAGGAACACAAAAGTTAAAGATTGAAAAGAGCTATTAGGCCACCCGGCCCACTTCTGACAAGTGCAGAGGCGATCTGCTTGTTTAGTGCCCATCCCAACCTTCCCCACAGTCTCCTTTCCTACACTCCTGGATATCCAAATAACAGGCTTCCAGCTGAGGTGCCACTTCATAACCTGGTACAGCACTTAAATAATCAATCTAAGATTTTTTAAAGAAATACTTATTTATTTAAACTTCATAATTCACATCCATCTCTCTAAGTTCTACTACAACTACCATCTCAAAGCATTATTTCTCCTTTCAACTTTATACCTATATCTTTACCCGTTAAGAGTTAAACATTTACATTGCATCACGTTAACTCTTCATCTTTAGTACTCCTCTCCATTTTCTCACATTTGCTGACAGCGTTCTTGTTAAAGGATTAGATTTAAACAAAGCCACCTTGCTAGCATCAAAAAGACTGTTTTAACTCCTTGTCATGATACCTCGCTAGAATTCTATTACATGCCAGTCAATAGAAATCATCACTTGCAACATGACACTAGAATGAGGGTTTTAGATTATCTTGAGGGACTTGGTTTTGGCCATGTCAGTGCACCAACTTGCACTAAAGAGCAGTCTCCCAACACACAACACTACACAGGCCGAGGAACCATCTTACAGGCTCTCCTAATTGCTCTACTAAAGGCACTCGACAGACACACAACTATTCTCCTTGCCCTAACTTACTGCCCAATACTACTGGGGGATGTAGGTTATACAGCTCAAAGCACCTCTGAAATGTACCTTTACTCCATGTTCAGCCTAGTGTAGAGCAGGCTCATCCAGCATCCCAGAAATCTGTGGATTCACACCAAAGCAGCACCTATATCCAGGTTGCAGATCCAGCAGAACCTACCCTAGACCCGAGCAGCAGCTTGCACCCAGCAGACGCGCTCTGCGGCAAGCCTGTGTCACACATGGCTATGACAATCCCTTCCCCACGCCTGCCACAGGCCTGATGGGAAAAAACCAACATTTTAAGCCAATGTAAATACAGTCTGCAGCTCTTTCCAAAGGGTGACTCTTGAATTAGATGTTCTGCGTGACCTACCCTACCCAGATACTAGATCCTAATGCAAGTTTTAGTCCAGGAGATGCTATGACCAAGTGGAGTGATACTTATCGAAAGCATTACAGCAGACTCCTGGTGTACATCTAAAAAGGGTCGTAACATCCTTACAGCCCAGACTTCAGGCTATAGCCTTGCCAGCAGTTATTTTTGATCTACCAGCACCTTCAATCCATACGAAGACATCATAGTACTGGTGCAAGGATATAGTTTTGCTAGACAATAGCGAACAGCTGTACCCCTATCCCACTTCAACTTGTGCTTCTGCACCACCCCAAGTTATTCTGCTTCCTTCCAGAGCTGGAAATACAGATGATCTAGCAGTGCTTGCACCAAAAAAGCCCCACCACCAGTCACACTATATGCCTACTCTAGCAGAGCCATATTTGACCTACTTGTGCATCAAACAGCCCAAAAGCCATCCTAACTTCTTTTCTCAAGAACCTCACAGGCTGATGCACTAAACCCTGTTTCACCGAGGTGCAGGATGCTAATGTCTCATAGCAGTTCTACACAGCAGCACCAGCAAGATCCAAAGCTCCACAAGTCCCAACCTACTGCTGTTTTTCCTGTGTCACAGGAAAATACCAAAGTCAGGCCTTAAAATTTAGAAAAAAAAATTATTTTCTGGTCTAAATACTTCTGGTTTTCCCTTGAACGCGCTGCACAGTGCTTCAAAAACCTGGTTAACCAGGTGGAAGGTTAATTTTAGATTCAGTGCACCTAAGAGATTGTTCTTCCTCATTGCATTCCCAAGTCAACAGAGGGCAATCTGTGACGTACAAACATAGCAACAGTTTAGATTGAAAGAGTAGATTGTTGGCTTAAAATGTTAATCACTCAGTTGCAACTGGACAAAGAGGAGGCGGAATAATCAAGTTCACTCTGTTCCACCATCAACGTAGCAAAGACGTAACAAAGACTATAAAGTTTTAAAAATTAACTCAACAAAAAGCAAACTTGCAGAAGGATCTCATTAAGGACAACCATAAAGGAATGATGCTGTGGAAAGACTGACCATCCTAATGCAACCTTCTCCTCTTAAGAGCACAGTCAGTTTTAGTGGGGCTTGAGGTTCATTCAGCTGACTCCCCTAACACCTTCAATCTAACACCGACTCAACGTTAATAGCAGACTTAGGAGAAATCAGACCTAATATGGTTCATTTCCCTACCATTTCTTCTACAAACCCTCTTCACATAGAGCACTGCTAGCCCTGAGCAAGATCTGCACCCTGCATAGCGCTGAGTGCTGGTGGCCCACAGGTCCTGGGCTAGAATGTCAAGTCTTAGAGTAGCTTTTGATCTGTTCCTAGATACTGTCAACAAACAGCAAATATACTGCAAACACACAAGCAACTCCTGGCCCTCCTGAATATCAAAATAAAATAAACACTGTTGCTATGCATGTGCTCGTTCCAGGCTCGAATCACTCCCATCAGAGAGCTTCTCAATGGATCTCTAGCTGCCTAGACTACTTCACGGCTTGCTCAACATCCTTCCCTCATTGAAATACCTCTCCAGCAAATGAATAAATAAAGAGGTTTCTTCTTAAGCATTTCCAACAGAACAGGGGGTGACAAGTGTAAGCCAAGAAAATCAAATTCTTTCAATACTGTTTCCAGAAAAACTAAGATGAGAAAAAGGCAACAAGAACAGGGGAATTAAGCTATACAAGGCATTCCTTTCACACACAAGCACCTAGTTTTAAAAGACATTTCCAAATATCTGGAACAAGCACAAAGGCACACATGAAACAAAGAAACAGATGGAAGGAGTTGGAGTTAACCTCAGGAGCAAGTTAGAAGCAGCACACCAAGTTACAGCATTATAGCAATTCAGACTGCTAGCATGAAACACAAGCTCTTTTGAAAGGAAAAAAAAAAGTGAGAAATTATTCTATCAACTGGTCACAGTATTTTGACAGATAAAGATGCCGAGAGAACAAAAATATGTTAGCGCCACAACGTATGCACATCTTACCAGCTTTCAACCTTCTTCAAGGTCAAAAACAATTGACGGGTACAAAAGCACAAGATTAAGAGAAACAAATTAAAGCCCCTGCAGAAAAAAAAAAAAGGCACACTTCACTTTGCTTCCAAGTTCCTATCCTGAGCAAGCAGCTTAAACTCAAGTGAAGAACCAAGTAGGTCATTCTGAAGAAAAAGAATCACCTCAAGCTCAGGCTACCACAGTTCATAACATGACAGGTTTTCTTGTTTAAAATCATTTAGTAGGGCAAAGGCATCCAGAAACAACAGATAAAAGTATTTGAAAAGCTGGAGAAAATCTTGAAGCAGCAAGTCATATATCTATAGCTGTATTTATATAAAATACAGATAATTTTCCTCACTGAACTGTTGGAAGCTTAAACCTCAGTCTTTCAAAGATACCAATGTTTATAAGAGCAACTCCTTGTATGAAAGGAGGCAATCTACTTTTCAGAATTCTAGATGAAATATTTGTAATCAGCTATTTTATTCAG